CCCCCCCCCCCCCCGCCCCTCCCAGCAGTCTAGGAGGGTCCCAGACTCTCCACACCCTCACCAGCATTTGTTGGTTTTTTGGACATTGCTTAGTGTTTTTTAAAAACCATATTTAATAATTCATTAACAAATTTGCCCATTTGTATGTGACCACAAACAAGTCCTTTGTTCCCTATTACTGATAAAATTTGCATATTCCTACCCTCTAAAATAAAGCTGTAACTCTATATGGTGCTATATGATGCTTCTAAGGAGCCCTGGTAAGATAAGCACTGGACTATTAACCACAAGGTTAGCATTTCAAACCCACCAGCTGCTCCATGAGAGACCCTACGTGAGGTCACCGAGTCAGAATTGAACCAGTGGCGGTGGGTTGGTTTTGGCTATAAGATGCTTCTGCCTAGCCAGAGCGTATTCTTCTATGCAGTGCTATTGCATACTGTCCACTAGGAATTTTCTTTACTCTGGATTTTTGTGGACTTCTTAAAATAACCATATTATGTCACCTTTGTTTAGTTCTCAATTTAAACTGCACCTTCAGATAAGCTCTTACAGCATTGCATATAATACTGCTTTTGGAACGGTATTTTTACAACTGATAAAATCATTGTCTCCCTCAGATGGTGGAACCATAAAACTTTAAAATTTAAGATTTTTGCAGGATTATCTTTTAAAGTTAGAGTTTACAGCTCCTTTCTCCCCCGCCCCAACTATTTCTTAGTGTCTAAGGAGCTCTGGTAGTGTAGTGGTTACAAATCGGGCTGCGAACCTTAAGGTCAGCAGTTCAAAACTACCAGCTGATCTGTGGGAGAAAGATGAGGCTTTCTGCTCCCGTAAAGATTTACAGCCTTGGAAAGCCTGTGTAGGGTCGCTATGGGTCAGAACCAACTCCATAACAACTTAATCAGAGATGCTCCAAGATATTATCGCTTTATTTATAAAATAATAAAAATAGCAAACAACTTAAGCAACCTTAGATTAACAAAGGCAGAGTTATTTTAAGAACTGCCTGATATCGGGAAAGCAATATAAAAATCATAGTATGATCCTAGTTTTTAAAATCTGTATATTGGTGCATATAGCTACATATACACACACATATGCACACACACACGTACACATACATCGTTGTTGTGTGCTGTCCAGTCTATTCAGACTTACAGTAACCTTATAGGACAGAAACAAAGTGTCCCATAGGGTTTCCTAAGCTAATTTACACGGGCGCAGATTGCCACGTCATTTCTCCAGTGTAAGTGTTCTGTGGGTTTGAATTGCAAACCTTTCAGAGACCTTTTACTTACAGCCAAGCATTTAACCATTGTACCCCTAGAGTTTCATACATATATATGTATTGTCCTGGTGTGGGGTGTAGTTTAAGCACTGGACTGCTAACCAATAGGTCAGCAGTTCAAGCCTATCAGCCGCTCCTTGGAAACTCTACACAAGGTTGCTATGAGTCAGAACCAACTTGACAGCACTTATATGGACTTCTGGTGTGGTGCTGTGGATCGGCACTAGACTGCGAACCACAAGGTTGGCAGTTCACACCCACCAGCTGCTCCTCGGAAACCCTATAGAGAGGCATGCTGTGAGTCAGAGTGACTTGACGGCACTGTTAATGCTCTACTGAACTGCAAAGTTGTTTGAACTGTAACAAGCCACCAGGTGCTCCTTGGAAATCCTATACAGGGTTGCTATGGGTCGGAACTGAATCGATGGCACTTAACAACAACAATGTATATATAAAAATATATACACACACACACACATATGAAACTCTGGTAGCACAATGATTAACTGCTTGATTGTAACTAAAATTAAAAGGTTTCGGAAAGGTTTCAGATGAGCAGCTGATGGGTTTGAACCACTGACCTTTAGTTTAGCAGTCCAGTGCTTATCCTACATTGCCACACCAGGGTTTCTATATATATGCTGTTGTTGTTACATGCCGTTGAGTCGGTTCCGGCCCATCGTGACCCTGTATTGGATTTCTGAGGGTGACTGGTGAGCTTGAACTATTGACCTTGCAGTCCACGCTACTTTGCAGTCCAGTGCATTAACACACAGCGCCACACCAGGATCTGTTGTTAAGTGCTGTTGAGTCGATTCAGACTCAGCTACCCTGTATAGAGTTTCTGAGAAGTGTCTGTTAACTTTAAACTGCCAACCTTGTTATTAGCAGTCCAGTGCTTATCTTACAGCGCCACACTGAAGCTCCATGTATATATATATATATATATAGTTGCTGTTGTTAAGTGCCATGGATCCAGTTTCAACTCATAGCCACCCTGTATAGGGTTTCGGATGCTTTAGATCTTTTGCGGGGACAGAAAGCCTCGTTTTATCTCACACGTAAACATAGTTGGAGAAGGAAATACATCAAAGAGTTAACCATTTTTGGGTAACTTTATTTGATTCTTTTTACATTTCAATGTTTTTCAAAGACTGCACATTGCTAACATAACCAGAGTAGGGTTTTAGTCTTTAATTCATTAAAATAAATAAGTGATTTTAGTTTTTCTTAACCTATTTGTTTCAGAATATAAGCACCTTTTAATTTATGTGGCATTGATCTCCATTTAGATGCTGTTTTCTTGTATTCTTAGCAGTTAGTACATTTTTGGCTATTAAATCAAGTTAATAACACCTTTTATTGTGCCTTTTTAAATTTATACCACAGGGTAGAATCCTTTACAAAGTACGATGGAAAGGATACACATCAGACGACGATACCTGGGAGCCTGAGGTTCATCTCGAAGACTGTAAAGAAGTTCTGCTTGAATTTAGGAAGAAAGTTGTCGATAACAAAGCTAAGCCAGTCAAGAAGGATATTCAGGTATCATGTTTTGTCTCATTTCTTATGTCAGACATTTTTGTTAGAGAATATAAACCAATTCTGAGATTACATTATAAACTTTAAACGTTTAATCCATTTTAGATTATTCAATGGTTAATTATCTAGGTTCTTTGTTTTTTATCTCTAATTCCCAATTCCATTTTCAGCCGTACTTTCTTAGTGGTTGTGGACATTTTGAAGTTCACATCTTCTGTGTCCCATCATGGACACTTGTTTCTTTTCTGCTGTAGTTTGGGACCTTTACCAACACTGACCTTTTCTGTACCCCTGTCTGTCTGTGTTTATTTGCTTTTTTAAATTGATACTCGTTATTACCACCAAGACTTACTAAGTCAGAGACATAAATAATGTTATATGACTTCAATTAGAGAAATCATGTTAAGGAGTTGACAAAGTACTTGGGGCAAAAAAATATTTCCACCAGGTTTTATTAGTACTGCCTTTCAATACCTTTTAAATGATTGTTAATAGGACTTTTTGTGTGTGTGTGTGTTTTATAGAGACTTTCCTTAAGTAATGACATATTTGAGGCAAACTCTGATAGTGATCAGCAAAGTGAGACAAAAGAAGATACTTCTTCAAAGAAGAAAAAGAAAAAATTAAGACACAAAGAGGAGAAAAGCCCAGACGATCTGAAAAAGAAAAAAGCAAAGACTGGGAAACTAAAAGATAAGTTCAAATCAGACTGGGAGAGCTCCTCAGAAAGTTTCGTTTTTGACTCAAGGACAAAGAAAAGAATTTTGGAGACCAAAGAAGAATTAAAGGAATTTAAAAAGCCCAAAAAAGATGACATAAAAGAAACTAAGGAATTAAAAAAAGTTAAGAAGGGGGAAATAAGAGACTTAAAGACTAAAATTAGAGAAGATTTCAAAGAAAATAGAAAAACAAAAAAAGACAAATGCCTTGAATCTCTGTTGGAGTCTGAATCAAGTGTGCTTAATGATTCCCTTTCTCAAGATGAGGACAGTGAAGAGTTACATTCTGATAGCAAAGAAGAAAAACAAAAGATTAGAATTATCAAAGATAAATCTGGGCAAGATGTGCTTCTAGATGATGTTTTTGATAAACAGCTAGATGACAAAGTAAGTGCCGATGAGGATGCTGATGTGAGAACAAAGAGGACAAAGAAGAAGCCAAGAAAGTCTGAGGAGCATAAAGAGCTCCCAAAGCTAGAAAGCAATGATGTTTCTTTAGAAAAAAAACAGATACATAAAAAACTCAGGAACCAAGAAAAAGATAAGCTCATAGCTGCATCTGCCCAAATACAGAAGAGTTCAAGATGGAGTGGGGATGAGAGTGGTCTCAAGTCTACTGATTCACCTGGGAAGGTAAGCTATTGAGGTAGAGGAGGAGTGTGGGGGTGGTGGTGAGTAGGGGTGGGGGGTTGGGGGGGGGCGGATGAGTGCATTGAAGAAAGTGATAGTTAAAATCTTACAGAATACAGAAATGTTCAGATCTATCCAGTGCTCTTTTGAGTGCTCAAGAAGTTTCACAAATATGTAATGAAGAGGAAGCAATAGAACAGATTATAAGGATAGCTTCTCTACCATCAGGAGTTGGTTAGTTAGTATTATGAATCGGTAACAACAAACCAAAACCAAACTTCCTGTCATTGAGTTGATTAGGTAGTGAGTGTTACTATTGTTAAGTGCCACGGAGTCGATTTTGACTCAGCCACCCTGTATAGCTCTGGTAGCGTAGTGGTTACGAATCGGGCTGTGAACCTTAAGGTCAGCGGTTCGAAACTACCAGCTGCTCTGCGGGAGAAAGATGAGGCTTTCTACTCCCATAAAGATTTACACCCTCGGAAACCCTGTACAGGGTCGCTATGGGTTGGAGCCGACTTGACGGCACTTAACAACAACAACAACCCTGTATAGAAGTGCTGGGGAAGAGCTGACCCACGGGCCATTTAAGGCCCACGAAATCACAGGGTCTGGCCCTGCCAAGGCAACTGCAGTTCCAGTCATCGCATTAGGGCTGAGTTGTTGAAATGTTTGGCCAAATATAGCGTCTAATTTTTAAGTTAATTGATAATTTTGTATGACTTGTGAATGATGTTATAAATTTTGGCAGAAAAAAGGTTCTCCACCCCTGCTGTATATATAGGGTTTCCGAGGCTTTAAACCTTTTGCAGGAGCAGAAAGCCTCATCTTTTTTCAGTGGAGTGACTGGTGGACTCGAACCGCCAATCTTGTGGTTCGCAGTCCAGTGCTTCTATGGAGCCACCACACTCCCTGATTAGGTATGTTGTGTTGTTGTTAAGGGCCATCTAGTCGGTTCCGACTCATAGGGACCCTGTGTAGAGTTTCCATAGAGCGGCGGTGGGCTTAAAGTGCCAACCCAGTGCTTCTCCATTGCCACACCAGGACTCCCTCATTAGGTGTTGTTGTTGTTGTTAAGTACTGTGGAGTTGGTTCCGACTCTTAGTGACCCTGCACAGGGTTTCTGAGGCAAATCTTTATCGGAGCAGAAAGCCTCATCTTTCTCCCGTGTAACAGCTGGTAGTTTTGAACTGCCGATCTTGAGGTTAGCAGACCGATTTATAACCCCTATGCTACCAGAGCTCCTTTGTTGCTGTTGTTAAGTGCTGTTGAGTCGGTTCTGACTCATAGCGACCCTGCATAGGGTTTCCGAGGAGCAACTGGTGAGTTTGAACTGCCAACCTTGCAGTTTAAATGGCTTTGCATTCTGGCGCATTAACCCACAGTGCCACACCAGGACTCCAGAGCTCCTTTAGGTAGTTAGAAATGCTGAAAATTATACAGCCTTTGTACCCCTGATTTATTTCTTAGTCTTTGGCTTTTTTTCCCCCCCTTTTAATTGAAGATAACTCAAAAATTGAGGGCTAATTTGTGAGAACAATCAGGAATTTTTTTTCATTTTGAAGTACCCAGACAGTATGTGGCACTGTATAAGTAAGGCTTTCGTGCTGTATTTGCGTTTTACATACTGGTATTCCCTCTCCATTGTCTTAAGAATATAATTCTTTTTACTAAAATCAAGTATACAGAGTACATTCGTCTATAGTAAGTCTTTAAATTCTTAGAAAAATATTTAATAGGGAGCTTGACACGTTGTGTGGTTAGGCATTTGTATCTAACCTTAAGGTTGATGGTTTAATCCCACCAGCTGCTCTGTGGGAGAAAGATTTGCTTGTCAGTTTATGCCTAGTTTACAGTCTTGTAAAAACCTTCAGGGCAGCTGGACTCTGTCCTATAGGGTTGCTGTGAGTCAGAATCCACTCAAAGGCAGTAGGTTTGGTTTTGATTTTTGGGTTGTTCCATTATTACATTTACTTTTTCAAAATGTACATTTTCACAAATTATGAAAGTAGTATTCATATATGCCATATTTATCAAGGGTGATAAATATCATTTTCTTTTCATCTGTTATTTCCAGTCTTGGGAATATAGCTCTAGGAAACCATTTAAGAGGGAAATAAGCTATGTGTATCAAGATACTTAAAGACAGCATTGTCTTCAGTACTGAAAACCCAGAAGAGAAAATGGTTTAAAAAACTGTTGGTGTATATGATCTTTGGGACTGTTCCATGTCCGGTACAGCTTTATCAAATCAATGTAGCAAAACTAGGCAAGTTACAGAATTCTCTATGTAAATATATCTATGCAATGTGAATTAAAAAAAAAAATTAAGGCAAAAATGTATTTGTAAAATAATAAGGATTGGATGGAAGGGAGAACTTGGGGGGGGGGGAAGTCATGTTTTGTTGTTGTTAAGTGCTGTCGAGTCAGTTTTGACTTATAGTGACCCTGTATAGCGTTTCTAAACTGACTTTGCAGCCCAGTGCGTTATCTGAAGCGCCACACAAGGACTCCATCATGGTTTGTTAGTGAATGTTTTCTAAAATGTTATGTTGTTGGTTGTGATTTTTATAATTAGAGTAAAACAACTGGTATTATGGTTTGAAGTTGACATTTTGTAAATTGTGTTGTTGAAGGATAATTTTGATTGAGGAAGCAGTTTATATGAAAACACTTTTAATCAGTGCTCATACCCACAGTGCAGAAAGGTATCCATTGACCTAAGGGACCTGTATTTTCTAGTGTGAAATACACAGCGTCAGCTCTCTGGCTATTTTAGTGTTTGCTTCTTATGTCTGTTTCAGGAGAAAGACACTAAAAAGAGTGAACCCAAGGAAAAATACCTGAAAAGGCATGATTCTGACAAGGAGGAAAAGTATAGGAAAGAGACAAAAGGATTAAAGAGTGAGTGTGAATGCTAACATTTTACCATTTGACATTGTCTTCTTTTATGTAAAGAATTTAATTTACTATGAAAACAAACTCTCTTTTCTAACCTACAGCTGATGTTGATGTTGAATTGGTTCTGACTCATAGGAGCCTCATCTTACTCCTGAGGAGCAGCTGGCAGGCTCAAACCATGGACCTTGTGGTTTGCAGTCCAGAACATACTGTATGGAGCTACCAACCTCCTTTTGCAATATCATGGTGTTGTTAAATGCCGTAAAGTCAGTTCTGATTTCAGTGTGACCCTGTATAGGGCTTCTGAGGAATGGCTAGTGAGTTTGAACCACTGGCCTTGTGGTTCAAAGTGACCTTGCGGTCCAGTGTTACTCCTACAGTGTCATAGTGCTGGATGTCTGTAGTTATGGGGAATTTAGAGCTACAGGCTAAGTTGTGCTAAACTAGTTAAAAAACCCTTTGCCACTGAGTTGCTCAAGCTTATTACTGTTGAGTTCATGGTGACCCATGGTGACTCATGTTTCAGAGTAGAGCTGAGCTCAGTAAGGTTTTCTTGGCTGTAATTTTTACATAAGCAGATCCCCAGACCTTTCTTCCAAATGTCACCGGCTTGTATTACCAAGAACCTTTATTACCTAACAAGTTATATTAAAGTGAGCATAGTGGTTATGAATCGGGCTGCGAACCTTAAGGTCAGCAGTTTGAAACTACCAGCTGTTCCATGGGAGAAAGATGAGGCTTTCTGGTCCCATAAAGATTTACAGCCTCAGAAACCCTGTACAGGGTCACTAAGGGTCGGAACTGACTTGCCAGCACTTAACAACAACGTACATTTCATATATTGCCTTAATATGTAATTAATTTTATAATAATTTTTTTTTCCTTTTGGTTTGCTTTCTATTAACTGTGTTGATGGAGTAGGATATAATTGCAAAGAGAGGAAATTAGTTGTGACAGAAAAGTAAATGTCTTTTATAGTGTGTCTAAAAAGACAACCTTATGTTTAACGTATTTATTGTAGTTGACTGTTAATTGTGTAAATATATTGAATAAGCATTTTTAATAGTTTCAAAGTGTGACTTGAGATTCTGTATTGTTGTGAAGTGCTGTTGAGTCGGTTCCAGCTCATAGCGACCCTGTGTAGCATTTCCGAGGAGCAGCTGGTCAATTTGAACCACCCACCTTGCAGTTCAAACTGACCTTTCAGTCCAGTGCATAGTCCCACAGCGCCACACCAGGACTTCTTAACACATATCAATTTGGAACAAATACTCAACAAAAAATTAATATTACAGTGTTTAAAGAAGCCTTATCGTTGTCAAGTGCCATCGAGTTGGTTCTGACTGAGCAACCTGTATAAGGTTTCCGAGCAGCGGCTGGTGGGTTTGAACTGCCACCTTGTGGTTCAAATTGACTTGTGGCCAGTGCTTATCCTACAGTGCCCACCATATGAGGACTCCTTAATCGATGGTGTTGTTGTTAAGTGCTGTTGAGTTGGTTCCAACCCATAGTGGCTCTGTGTAGGGTTTCAGAGGAATGGCTGGTGGTTCAAACTGACCTATGGTCAAGTGCTTACCCTGCAGCACCACACCAGAATTCCTTAATAGATAATATTATGTATGTATATATTTATATATATGCTCTATCTATCTATCTATACTTTTTTTACTATGGAGTCCTGGTGTGGCTCTGTGGGTTAGTGCGTTGGGCTGTAAAGTCGGTTTTAATCACAAGGTCAGTGGTTCAAGCTCACCAGTTGCTCCTTGGAAATGCTATAAAGGGTAGCTATAGGTTGGACCTCAGTGAATAACAACAATGTACATTTTTAAGTGCTGTTGTGTCCATTCTGGCACACAGCAACCCTGTATGCAGTTTCTAAGGGTTTAAATTTTTGAGGGAGCAGAAAGCTTCATCTTTCTCCTGTGGAGTGGCTGGCAGGTTTGAACTGTGGACCTTGTGGTTAACAGTCCAGTGCTTATCATACAAGCCACCACACTCCCTTTTCCTATTTTGTTGTTGTTGTTAAGTGCAATCCAGTCAGTTCTGAGTCTCTATCGGGTTTCTGAGAAGCAACTGCTGGGTTTGAACCTCTGACCTTGCAGCTCAAACTGGCCTTGCAGTCCATTGCATTATCCTGCAGCACCTTACCAGGACTCCTTGTCTAGCTTAATACAATGAAAACAAAATCTACTTTAATTCGGGGTCTTTTCTCCCCTACAACAAAATTAAGAAGAAAATAAATGGTTCTCTAACACTAACCCAAACTGATTAATTGCATCATAAATTGACTCATATTAACAATCACATTTGTTTTTTTACCCTAGCATTTAAGGAAATCAGAAATGCATTTGATATATTTAAATTAACGCCAGAAGAAAAAAATGATCTTACTGAGAGTAATTGGAAAAGAGAAGAAATACCACTGGATTGTAAAATCACAGACGATCACAAAACCAAATTATTTAAAGAAAGGAGAAATACAAGAGATGAAACGGATACTTGGGCATATATAGCTGCAGAAGGTGACCAGGAAGTGCTAGACAATGTATGTCAAACAGATGAGAATTCTGGTGAGTGTACTTATCATTTTCCCCAATTTTTTCATAGTTGTATGTGTTTATTTTAGCCTCTTTACTCTTCTCCGCCCATCATAACTCTGATATCAAGATCAGATAATAATGGAGTAGAAACTTTTTTAGATATTCTGAGTAAATAACTTCTTCTATTGGAGTAAGGCCATCCTGAGATTTCTAAATTGATCGGCTATTTCTGAACTCCTATGATGTCCTTAGTACATTTAGAAATGATAAAACTTTCTGATTGTCCACCTTACCTACTCTTACCAAGCAACCTGATAATATATTTTATTATATTTCTTTCAGAAAATTATTAATTATCTGCTTAGTGTATTCTGCCTTTTAGCTTTACAGTAAATAACACTTTATTGTTGTTGTTAAGTGTCATTGAGTTGGTTTCAACCCATAGCGACCCTGTATAGGGTTTCCGATAAGTGACTGATGGGTTTGAACCGCCAACCTTGTAGTTAGAACTGACCTTGTGGTCCAGCGCAGTATCCTGCAGTGCCACCCCAGGACTCCAGTAAATAACAGTACATAAGATTATACTGTAATGTTTTCCTGAGGCCATTGGAATCCGCTAAGGAGGGAGGACTTTCTATAAAATACTTAGTACAGCAGCTGGGTGGGGAGGGGTGATTAAAGTGATACATCTGTATATTCATATGTTGTTGTTAGTGCTGTGGAGTCGGCTGTGGGCTCATAACCACTCTGCGCTCAGTTTCTGAGGAGCAGCTGGTGGTAAGTGTTGATGGTAAGTGCTATTGAGTTGGTTCTGACTCATAGCGACCCTGTGCAGGATTTCTGAGGCGCGGCTGGTGAGTTTAAATTGCCGATCTTGTGGTTCACATCGACCTTGTGGTCCAGTGCTTTATTCTGCAGCACCATACGAGGAATCCCTATTTATATGTCGGACAGAATGAATAAGATAGGTTAATCTATGTGCTAAGATTTCATGTAATTTGTGAATCTTTAGGAACAGCAGTTCAAGAAAATTTTGAAATACAGGTTTGAGCACTTAATGGCCACACTATTGCTAGTGTTGTGTTGTTAGGTACCATTCTGACTTGCAGGAACCGTATGTCCATTGCTTGGGTCAGGCACACCTCAGTCTTCAGAGTGACATCATTTGTTTGTAGTCTTTGATCTTCAGAAAGTACTTCAAGTCCTTCATTTTCAGCAAGCAAGGGTGTGTCATCTGTATATCGTAGAGGTTCGTGAGATTCCCTCCGATCCTGATCTTCACGTAGTCTAGCTTCTCGGATTATTTGCTCAGCATATAGACTGAATAAGTGTGGTGAAAGAAAACAACCCTGGTATTCACCTTTCAGAGTTTTAAACCACTCATATGTTCTGTGAAATAGGATATTTCACATGGTTGGACGTTATGTGAATAGTATCTGAACATCAGAAAACACCTTTTAGGAACCTGCTCACTTCTGTTGCTGCTGCTGGAGGCTCTGGGAGCTCGCAGTGGCTGTGGCTGAGGGGGCAGCTGCGGGAGCAGAGCTACAGGAAGTAGATGGGGAAGGGACAGAGCAGATCCGGTACTGCCCACATGACCTCCAGTTAAAGCCTGAGAACCCTCCTTGACTCATGTCCTCTGCCTCACCTACCTGCGTCCCATTGGGGCCCTGTGCTTCAAGAATCTGGCTTTGGAGTCTTTAAAACCATTGTTAAGTGCCATCAAGTCGGTGCCAAGTCAAAGTCATAGTCACCCTGTGTAGGATTTCTGAGGAGCAGCTGGTGGGTTTGAACTGCCAACCTGTGGTTAGCAGTCCAATGCTTATGCTATAGCAGCAGATCAGGGCTCCTTAAAACTATCTGAGGGGGAATAATTAACAGGAGAACCACTTTCCCTTTGAAGAAGCAAAAATGAAAGACCCTATGGCACCGCAGAAGTTGTCTAAAGCAGACAAATTGACAAATATCTGTACTCGGAAGCTGTGTTCCAATCTGTGTTATTGATTCCACTGGTTATAAGGAGTAAACTGCTTATCTCTATTATTAATGAGCCCATGGCCACAATCCAGGGAAGTAACGACTTGTTTTAAGGTGTAATGAGTCGTGTGGAGCCCAGAGGGTTTTGGGAGTGTGAAGGTGAGGGTGGGGCTCCTCAGCAGGGAGGGTGTCTAGAAGGAGAAGCTTGAGCTGACTCTGGAAAGATCAACAGGCAGTGACTATTTGTAAACCAAATATGTAGGCTTGGTGTACAAATTTCGAATCACTTTAACTATACAAAGAACCCTGGTGGCTCTGTAGGATATGCAGTGAACATGTTAACTGCAAGGTCGACAGTTCAAGAGACCTATCAGCCTCTCCTCAAGTAAAAGATGAGGCTTTCTATTCCCATGAAGATTTGTAGCCTCAGAACCCTTACACAGAAGGTTTGAGTCAGAACTGTCTCCATGGCAGTGGGTTTTGATCTTACCCACCTATAAATGGTTGGAAGCATGTATATCTACGAAGAATGGTCAGAAAGAGAGTATTGTTGGTAAGTGTTGTCAACATCAAGCCAATTCCGACTCCTAGTGACCCTGTATAGGGATTCTAAGGAGTGACTGGTAAGTTTGGACCACTGACCTTGCAGTTCAAATGACCTGTTGGTCCGGTGCTTAGCTGCGAGCTGCTTAGTCGTGTACTTAAAATGCTTATTATTTCATTATTTTACAGTTGTTACCGTTTCATCTTTGTGCTTTTGAAGTCTATAATATTAAATGTGGATAGTTTGTATTGCTTTCCAAAGAAAATCATGAATTTTATCAAGTCTTTTAACATTCAATTATATAATAGTCTATGTTAAACTTGTATATAAAGGTTTGATTAAGGTACCATAAATTTAGTACAACAGATATTATTGTCTAGAGAAATATATCTTAATAAGACTCTTCTGTGTTCCAGATGGCAGACAACAGATTTTGAGTTTGGGTATGGACTTGCAATTGGAGTGGATGAAAATGGAAGATTTTCAGAAGCATCTGGATGGAGAAGATGAGAATTTGGCGACAGCAGACACAATTCCAAGTAGTAAGTGGTTTTGGAATTAAAAGAATTCCTTTTTACAACTCTCTCTAAATAACCTAATTTGCCTTCCCCCCCGCCCCATTTTAGATTTATTGAGAGATGCTGTGAAAAATGGAGACTATATTAGTGTAAAGATTGCACTTAATTCAAATGAAGAATATAATCTGGACCAAGAGGTAATAATATCTAAATAATCTCATGAAAGGATGTTGGAAAGTAGTTCTTGTAAACAAATTCATTTACTTTTTCTTTCCTTTTCTTTTTACTTACAAAGTAAGGTTATTGTTGTTAAGTGCCCTCGAGTTGATTTCAACTCATAGTGACCCTGTATAGGGTTTCCGAGGAGCGGATGTGTGAAGTAGAAAATGTTAGTTCCTGTAATTCCAAACTGCAAGCACTCATCTTTAGAAGGATCACCACAAGACTGGTCCCCATGAGATACATGTTACAGGATGTTGTTAAATTTTGTTAAGTTGATTCTAACTCATAGCGACACTGTTGTTGTTGTTGTTGTTATGTGCCATCGAGTCGGGTCCGACCCATAGCGACCCTGTACAGGGTTTCCGAGGGTGTAAATCTTTACGGGAGTAGAAAGCCTCATCTTTCTCCCGCAGAGCAGCTGGTAGTTTCGAACCGCTGACCTTAAGGTTCACAGCCCGATTCGTAACCACTATATAGGTACAGAATTTCCAAGGAGCAGCTGGTGGTTTTGAACCACTGACCTTATGGTCATCAGTCCAGTGCTTATCCTACAGTACCACACCAGGATCCAAAATACCATTCTGTAATCCCTGATATCAACCACCACTCCTTCCTCCCTTCAGTGTTCTCCCTCACGTAGGGTTCAAAATGCTCTGTAGTGTCTCACAGAACTCACGAACTTTCAAGGAAATAGCTCATACAGTTGTGGAGGATGCTCTGCACTCATGCCAAATCAGGCTGTTGACTCACAGGCTGTGGAAGCTGGTGAATAAGGTCAGGTGATAGGCCGCCCCTCAGTTACCAAGAGCCAAAGGTCAGATGAAGGCGAGCCAGACGCAGGATCCAGAGCAAGACAATGAATTTTGTTAAAGTTGCTCAGCATAGCTGCAGAACAAAAACTGAAAGAAGGAGCACCTCCTGTCACCAAGATGGGTTTCCAAATCCTGGTCCAGCGGTCTTTTAAGGAACTAACTGGCTTCTGGTTAGTGTTCATCCAGACGATTTAGCACTAGTCTTCTGTGCATCCTCAGTTGAGAAGGAAGGTCACAAAGATGGCGTTTGCCCAGGTTTGGGATGTTGATAGAGGTGTGTTGTTTTCAGCCTTGTGGTGTCCGAAGATCAAGTTGAAGACATGTTGGTTGTTACTGTGAAGGTTAGGTGAGCCAGGTCTGGCTTCAGCCAGTTCTCCCCTAGCCCCCTGCTTTTCTTATTGAAGCCAGAAGCTCGCAGTTTACTAGTAAGGGAACAGCGTAAGACAGAAGTTCTTTTTAAAACCAGGATATCAAAGATGCTGGCTAGTTGCAGAGCACACTCCCAAGGAAACTAAGTATGGTGATAATGAGTCATACCCCTTAGTAAGGCGGGGAGTCCGTATACATCCGATCTTATTCTTGCCTCACTAACAGACACCTCACTCCAAAACAGGACTAAGCACAGGCACGGAGGCTAGGTTTGTAGTACATCACAAACGGAGAACTATGGCTGCTGTTGTGAAGTGCCATTGAGTCGGTTCCGACCCGTAGCGACCCTGTATAGGGTTTCCAAGGAGCAGCTGGTGAGCTTGATCGCCAACCTTGCTGTTCAAACGGCTTTGCAGTCTGGCGCATTACCCTACAGCACCACACCAGGACTCCAAGAACTATGGCTAGGAGGGCCAAATTAAACAAGTATGTCTCATTTGGCTTTTTTTCTGGTTGATAAAACCTTGTAAGTGGAGTGTGGTGGCTCCATAGGTAGGATAAGCACAGGACTGTAAACCACAAGGTTCACAGTTCAAGCCCACCAGCTGATGTACAGGAGAAAGATGAGGCTTTCTGCTACTTTTTTTTTTTTTAAAGTCTTGGAAACCCTATACAGGGTCACTGTTAGTTGGAACCAACTCGATGGCACTTACCAACACCAATCCTTTTAAGTAAGTTTCTTGATTCCAGTGTGCTTGTGAGGATGTATATCTCATGTGCTCAGCTATTCTATGGTGCCGTCCTTTCTCAGGCCCCATTCACTGTACCCACACATGGCATCCCTGTCTGCTCGGAGTGGAGTTCATTGTGATAGCAATTTTCCAGCAGAACCCCCCCCCCACCCCCCCAACACACACACACAACATTTTCCTCTTCAAGCATCTGGAAGGTAATGCTGATAATGCAGCCCTAAGAAGAGGCTAGAACCGGGGGTGTGTGGGGGCAGGGGCAGGCTTACAGGGTATACCCTTTGGTTGGTTGATGGTGCATGGAGGGGATTGTAACCATGGCAATGAAACTATATACGATAGAATAAATGTAAACCTAATGTTTTCCCATGTAAACTATCACATAATTCACAATAAAACATTTAAAAAAAAAAAGAGGCTAGAACATTTCTGTGCAGCCATTGCCAAATGCCTATTTTTAAAAAGCTTTACCAAATAAAATTGCTAAGATAAACTGATTTTATCCTTACATACCACTAATCTTTCATTCCACTGGAGGTCACTGGGACATATCTGACCCATATTATGTGTATCAAATCTGTATCTCATAACAGAAATTCAGAGTCAGAAAGGATCCTTGATTCAGCATGCCGCCCGCTACTGGAAACACATAGTTCAACAAAAAATTCAGAGGAGAAAATAATTTGATTTTAAAAGGGTTATTGAAGGAGCTCTGGTAGTGTAGTGGTTATGAATCGGGCTGCAAACCACAAGGTCAGCAGTTTAAAACTGCTAGCCGCTCCACAGGAGAAAGAAGAGGCTTTCTGCTCCTGTAAAGATTGACAGCCTTGGAAACCCTGTTCAGGGTTGCTATGGGTCGGAACCGACTCAATGGCACTTAACAACAACATTGAAGGCTGTAGCTATTTCTTAGCTTAGGGACGTACCCAACTGCTTTTGCAAAGACTGCCTTCTGAGTTGGGTGTGGATACTGAGGTATCTGTTCCTTAGCCTAAGTGCAGCTAATTTCAGAAGTTTAGCTTGACAGAGATTTCCCTGAGAGCAAGGAGTTAAAAATAAACAAAACCACAAAAGAACCTCTGCTAATTGCAAATGGAGACCCGTGTGATGCTATGGGTTAATGTACTGGACTGCAAGGTTGGTTTGAACCATAAGTTTGACAGTTCAAGCTCACTAGCCGCTCCTTGGCAACCCTGTGTCATCAATTAGTGATTGCAAGTATTTTAACTAATAACTGCCTTTTCATTTTTTGTAATTTTTATCTCTACTCAAATCACTTCTTCATTCATCTATTTTGTTGTGGCCTCTTAGAAGCTAATCACATCTGTATCCTTTTCCTGCTTCTGAATTTTTTCTGTATTCTTGGAGAAAGCAAACACTCACTGCCCAACAATTTCATTTATATAGACCAATGTTTATCTAAACCAAATAATATTCTAATTTTAGTTTATCATTTATAGAATGGACTTATAGGAGTCCTCGTGTAGGATAAGCACGTTTGACTCAGCGGTTTGAACTGGCAAGATCAGTGGTTCAAACTCACCAGCCACTCCTCGGAAACCTTATACAAGGGTCACTCTGAGTCAGAAGTGACTCAGTGGCACTTAACAACAACAACAAATGGGATTATGAACCGTTTCTTCCTTTATATATTTGGGCCAACTTAAATGAACATAGAGAACATATGAGTTTCACCTAGAAGCCAAGGAGAATTTTGGATATGAAATGTGAAACAAAATCCATAAGTATTGTTACATATGCAGCATTAGGATTCGCTGTTCATTTTATGTCAGGCAAGCTGTTGTTGTGTCTTTGCAATATAATACATAAAAATTGTAACATTTTTGGTAATACTTGTATATGAAAAAACTAAAGATTATTTGTCTCTGCATGATTGTTAGAATACTTTAGTTAAAAATTTAAACAGATGCTTAAATAAATAGTTTACTAATTTTGTATTGAAATCTTCTAAGTGGAGAGAGTTCTGAAGTTTTCCTCACTATATGTTTTCTCTTTTTAACAACTAAAACCATTGATACAGGATTCCAGTGGGATGACTCTAGTGATGCTGGCTGCAGCTGGAGGGCAAGATGACCTGCTTCGGCTACTCATCAAAAAAGGAGCCAAAGTTAATGGGAGACAGAAGAATGGGACCACTGCACTGATTCATGCAGCTGAGAAGGTGGGCGGCTTTGACAGTATATTGGGGTCATGGTGTTTAATGAGGATTCCTATCAGTAGACAAAGAATTAAATAAAATATAATGGGGATGTGAGGGTGGTGAATGAGGTCATAACTTCATTATTCATATTTCAGTTGACCAGTGACTGGTAATGAAAGGTTGCTTTTAGCCTCAATGTTGTTGTTGTGATGTGCCGTGGAGTCGGTTCTGACTCATAGTGACCCTGTACAGGGTTTCCGAGGCTGTAAATCTTTATGGGAGCAGAAAGCCTCATCTTCCTCCCGTGGAACAGCTTGTAGTTTCGAACTGCTGACCATGAGATTAGCTGCACAATTCGTAGCCACAACGCAACAGTAGTACTGTGTAATTGAATTTTCAAAAAGGGATTGATCTAATTGTAAGTGATTTATATTAAAAGTGACCTCTGTTTAAGATACTGCTATTTCCTTTGGTTATTAATTTAATTCAGATGTCCTCTGTGTTTTGTTTTTATAAGACGTTGAGCAGACCTTTATTTGCTATTAATCAAAAGCAAAGGTGGCAATATTAGGAAACCAAAGCCTCACTTTGTCTGCCTCCTCCCATGTATTGGTTTTCTACAGAATCTACAGACATTGAGGCTCTTATGTTGAAACCAGTGATTGTACTCCAGGTTGAAATTGCTGCCAAACAGCATGCGCCTGTGTAGAAGTGCTTGAGAGGTGGGCGAGCCTGGCTGACGGCACCATCACATTCTCACAGGAATCCAAAGGGAAGACATTGGAGTGATCTAGTCAGCAACCTACTTGAGATAGAATCTGCTGATGATGAAACATTCCAAAATACTTTAAAGTGTCTTTTAAAGGATCTTAGGAACTAAATGTGCTTTTTTTGTTTGTTTGTTTTTAATAGAATTTTTTAACAACAGTGGCTATTCTTTTGGAAGCTGGAGCTTTTGTAAATGTCCAGCAGAGCAATGGTGAGACTGCTTTGATGAAGGTAAATACATTGCCTGTAACTGATGTTCATGGTAGGTGCCGGGTCCTACGAAGATGATGGGGAATGAGGGAGTCTCTGGGCTCAAGCAGTTCGTGGAAGAACAGGAGAAAAAAACCAGTAAATGAGCAGCAGAGCCTGCTGTGACCCATCATGTGATGGGAGGAGTAGGACAGCTGCAGGTTACGGAAAAGGGATAGTGAAATGTGGAGCCCTGGCCGTGTTGTGGGTTTCATATTGGACTGCTAACACCAAGGACAGCAGTTCAAATCTAGCAGCCACTCTGAGGCTTTCTGCTCCCATAGTGATTTACAGCCTCAGAAGCCCTACTTAGGGTCCCTGTGAGTCAGAGTTGACTCAGTGGCAGTGGGATTTTTGGAGCTGGGTCTCAGGAAGAGCTTGTTGGTGGAATGACTGATAGCTCAGCTGTGTTTAGGTAAATAGGAGTTATTGGGAATGATGTGTTGGAGAGAGCTAGAGGAGTATAGACGGGACTGCGAGGGAAAGAAAGCATGCCGTACTGTCCTTTGTTCACTCCTGGTCTGTGTTGGTGAATTAGTCTCCATGTGGTTTGGAATTGTGGTTTGCATGTATAGACATTTTGTTTCAGGAGGCAGTTGCAGAACCTTCCCTCCCCTCACATACACACCTACGCACACACATCCATATCTGGTATTATACCTCCCTGTATATCAGTTTTCATTTGCTTTGAATTGGCTTACCCACCCATTCATACATGGGCATTTCTAGGTTCCTGGTCCAAGATGCTGGTAGGCTGCAGCAAGTGCACACACAGCCTCCATGTTGACCCTGTCTTCCTGCCTCCTCCCTAGAGACACAGCTTTACAATCGTTCTTTTTTTGTTTTTAATGTTTTGTTGTGAATTATGTGATACTTTATATGGGAGAACATTAGCTTTACATCCATCCTATCGTATATCGTTTCATTGCCATAGTTACAATCCCCTCCATGCGTCATTAACCAACCAAACCCCGCAAGCCTGCTCCCCGGGTCGTCAGCACCCTCTCCCTCTCAGGTTCTAGAGTCCTCAGCTGCTCCATCTCTCCACGTCATCATCTCTGCTTCTATCTCTGGCATAACTGCTTCTCTGGGTAGGGTCCCGCACTCTGCTCTTCTCCCTTGATGGTCCCAGGGACCTCCGCTCCTGGACAGCAAAGTCAATCACTCCCCTCCTTTCACTACAAACGTCTACCTTTACATTTCCAACCCTCACAATCAGTCCTGATAACAATTATTCACCATTGTATCACAAGACACCTATCCGCATCTCCTTTTATTAGCCCTGCCCTGACAGACTGGATACTACTCAGTGGAGATACTATCTTCCTCTGCGCCCTCTGGATCTAGGCTCCCTTTTGAAAGCTTGTAAGCCAGTCACCTCTTGCCTCTGTCGTCCCCCCCATTCTGGGTAGCCAGTGTCCAGGTTGCCCATCCTTGTCTACTCTGTGTATGGAGCGGGTGGGAATGATCTTCACTGTAAAGATTTGTTCCCTCTTTTGAGTTACTGCATCCATAGGTGTAGGTCAGGTTCATCAAATTGTATCAGATTACTCTTTTTTTTTTAATTTAAGGTTTTTATTGTGGATTGAGTGAAAGTTTACAGGGCACATCATCAAGTTTCACATTCAACAATTCACATACAGTTTACTCTTGTCTTCCTCTTCTTTCTTCTGTTTGAGCTCTGATCATCCAGTCATTGAAGCCAGGTCAAGTGGGTATTATCTGCAAGTGTGGGTGTTCTATAATAGCTCTTGATCCAAGTAGGTGTTTGTCTACAGTAGCTTTTCTCACCCCTCTCTTATTAATGAAACTATTCAGTCACAGCCCCACGTTCTGAGCAGAGAGCTTAGCCCTGAGCTGTGTCTTCAATGGGGCTGTGAGTCTCCGTTTTTTAAAGGACCGGCTCACCTGAACCTCTGCCTCCTTCAACACTTGCCCACTGCTCTTTGTTTCTGTTCCGTTTTTGCTTTGTGTAAGTGTTTCTTTTTGTCGTGAGCCTAGCCTTTCTGTTTTCCTTTTTGTGCTTATGTGTTTCTATTATCGCCGTATATTTAAAATAGTGGTGGAACCTCAGAGCATGAATTTAAACATCCTATTGAGCCAACACCGGGCGTGTTCTGAACAGCAGATGAGCTGAGGCTGGAGTGGCAAGGGGGTGTGGGGACGAGGGTACAGAAGCTTTCTGTGTTATGCTACGGCTTTAGAAATATATCTGGAGGGTAACTCTGAGCCATTGGAAGGTTTAACCTGGAGAGAGATAGAATCAGATTTAAGATTCTGTGTTTGTGGGTTTTCAGGGTCCCTTAAAAGGCAGAATACACTGGACTGGTTAGACAAGAGGCAATTTACAGACTCGTTGGGAGGCTCTGAAAATAAGAGAAATTTGTTCTATACCCAGGTAGTGACAGTGGGCTTTGAGAGTAGTGGGTCCATTGTCCAGATTTTCAAGGAGGTGGGTTCACAGGAGTTGGTAACTGAAGGTGATGCCTGATAATCCTCTTTCTTAAATTGGAGAACACAGGCAGTGCAAGTATGAGGGGCAAGACCAGACCTTCTGCTTTCTACTTATCAGTTTGAGCTAGAAATGTACAGAAGGCACTTTGACATAGTAGTCATCAGCTCAGGAGAGAGATGTGTGCTGGAGATCAGACTTGAGTCATCACTATAGGCTACAGTGATTATAGCAACCAGTTGAAAGTCACAGGCTCACCCATGGAGAGTAAAAAAGGTAAAGAATGCCAGCAATGGAAAGAGGCTATATAGAAAGGACCGGAGAAGTAGGAGGCAAATCAGGGAGGAAGGTCTCGAGAAAGCCAGGAGAAGAAAATGTATTGAGGAGAAGCAGTGTCCAGTGGGGAATAACAGGCCTGGAAAATACTATTTGGAATTAGCAATTTAGAAGGTGTTACAGCTTTGTCCAAGAGGAGTTGGCATCATCGCCTGAGTTTCACTGGAGAGGTTGGATTGGTGGGTGGTGAGGGTCTGGATCTGAGATGTGGAGCACTCTAACAGCCTTGCAGTGAACAGGAGAGAAGATCTGGGAAGGCACCAAGGAGAGGTTTGCTGGTTCTTCCTTTCCGTTAACATCCACATCTGGGAGACTGTTCCGTCTACAGTTAATTTGGTTTGTTTTTTAGATACTTGTTCTTGAAAGGCAGTATTTAAACTGCTTTTAAGGAATTAGTATATTAAATTAGGGTTACTGAATTTAAGAATTGCAAGAAATAAACATGGGAGGAAGATTTTACCGATTATAAAACAAAAATGAAGTTTCCTCTCTCAGGGAAAAATACATAAGTTGACCCTTACCAGTTGGTGAGTGGATGGAGAAAGGCACTCATACCTTGATGATGGGAATGTACTTCCTTAGAGCTGGTTCTCAGCCTTCCCTGTGGTGCTATTTGGGGCCAGACCATCTGTTGTTGTAGTACTTGTATAGGAGATTAGCAGCATCCCTTATCTCTGCCTTAAACGCCTTCTATTTCAAGAGGATCAGAATTGCCCCCCTAGTTGAGGACCCTTTTGAAGGACAATTTGTAGAGTATCCATGATACTCACCAAGATGGATTGACATAGTAGCTGCCACAATGGAACACAGTCAGTGATGGTTGTGAGGATGGCGTAGGATCAGACAAAGTCACTGAGGTGAAACCAACTTCATAGTACCGAACAACAACAGCATCAAAGTAAAAAGATAAACCTTCTATCATGCCAGCGAGTGCAGCTGGATTCATACTTCTTACCACATACAAAATTAATTCAAAATAGATCAAGGACCTAAATGTGAAATCTGAAACTGTAAAACTTCTAAAAGAATACAAGGGTAATATATCAGGACCTAGTTTTTAACAATGAGACCAAAAATAGATCATCAGTGGGACTTCTTTGAAATTAAAAACGTTTGTGCATGAAAGGATCTTACCAACAAAGTGAAGAGATAGTATATAGGTTGAGAGAAAAATTTATCTGGTATGGGTTTAATATCAAGAAAATAGGTAAAACTATAAACCAAAACTCATTGCTGTTAGTTGATTACAACTTATAACGACCCTACTGGACAGAGGTGAACTGCCCTGTAGGGTTTCCAAAGCTAATCTTGTGATTTGAACCAGTGACCTTTCAGTTACCAGTTGAGCACTTGACCATTGCAGCACCAGGGCTCCTACACAGCTATGTTGGTGGTTCAAACCCATCAGCTGCTCCTCAGAAATCCTATACACGGTCACTATGAGTTGAAACTAACTCAATGGCACATAGCAACAACAACAACTTTATTCAGATACTGATGTGTCTGTAGAAAAAGCACTGCGCTGCTAACCACAGAGTTGGCAGTTCAAACCCACCAGCTGCTTGTAGGAAACTACAGGGTTGCTATGAGTCAGAGCTGACTTGATGGAACTTAACAACATTTTTTAGACACTTAATTCAAGCTACTCAAAATCTGGTTCTCAGACTAGCTGTGGCTTTGTGAAAAAATTTTTCTAAGATATATAAACAGTATAAAATTGTAAGCTCCCTTTTTGTTACCTTCCTCCCACTAAATCCCAGGGAGAAGTGCTGCAAGCCCATCTCAGCCATTTTCTATTTATATAGGAGTATATACGCCGGTACATACACAAACTCATTTTGTTTCTGTTTTTTTCCTAAACTGGGATCATATCTATATTCTGAAGCTTGCCACCAGTACGTAAACCATCTATGTCACTAAGCACAGTTTAGATCCACTGACTTGTGTTATAGCAAGAAAATCTGCTTGTAGACAGCAAGTTCCATATTTTGCCAGGGGCTCTCACACAGTTATCTCCCTGGGCCTGATTTCAATTCAGCCTCACAGTGTTTGAGTCATAATACTGTTACCTACTTTGGAAAGATGGAAAAAGTGAAACTTAGCCCAGGTCACACGGCTGGAAAGTGTTAGGAATAGAACCCCAGATCTGGGTCTTTTTACTGTGTTGTGGCTTCAGCTTACATGCACTGAATTCAGATGTATGATCTGTGCGTCCCCTTGAACTCAGCTGCTAGGAATATTTTGGGATCCTAAGAGGTGATTTGTTTTCCAGTAGTATGTGATGATGTCTCTCACAGTGAGGGGCAGCAGGTCCGCTTCTCCCAGTCACTGTAGGCTCACAGAGACGCACACAGGCTGAACAAGGCCTGCTGTTTTCTCCCTGGGCTACCCTTTTCCTGAAGAAGCTGCCAGTGAAGAAATTGAATGTACCAACACCCCTCTGAATGAAAGTAATGGGATCGGGCTCCATGGGCTCCATAGGATAAGTACTGGACGGTGAACCAAAAGGTCCGTGGTTCAAGCCCACCAATTGCTCTGTGGGAGACAGATGAGGCTTTCTGCGCCCTCAAAGATTTTAAGCCTTAAAACCCTAAAACGGATCGCTGTGAGTCAGAAGTGACTCACTCAAAGGCACTTAACAACAATGACAACAAGTCTTCATTCTGAAGCTTGGACAAGTACATTGTCTACATCACTCAGCAGAGTTTAGATCAGCTGAGTCTCTTATAGCAATAAAAAAGTGAGTACCACTCTGCATTTCTACAGGGTTTCTCATGGGATTTTTACAGTGAAGGGTAACCTGCCCTGTTACCCTCCACTGTTGGAGAGGCTGTGATGTTCTATTGGGAAACTAAACCACCTCTTAAGATCACAAACTATTTTTTAAATGTTCTTAACAACTGCTTTGTAGCGAGGCTATTTAAGCATAGATACAAATTCAGATTCAGTACATTTAAGACAGCATATGGAGTCCTGAACTGCAACGCCAGTTTAAATCGCAAGGTTGGCAGTTCAAGCTCATCAGCCATTCCTCAGAAACAGGGTCACTATGAGTTGGAATCGACTTGATAGCACTTGACAGCAACAACAAGATGGCCGTGACGTAGTCCAAAGACTATGAAACACTGTGTCTCAAAGGCCTGGCCTCTGGAAGTGCTGGGCCAAGACTCCAGACTCTTCCGTCTCTTCACAGCGAGTGTCTAGGCTGATGCAGGGAGTAGAGGGCAAACCAGTGATTGGTGGTGGTGGTGGTGGGCCGTTGAATTGGTTCCAACTCGTAGTGATCCTATATAGGGCTTCTGAGCCTGTAAATCTTTACAGGAGCAGAAAGCCTCTTTTTTTTTCTCCCACAGAGCAACTGGTAGATTTGAACTACTGACCTTTTGGTTAGCACTCAGCTTGTAATCTACTACATTACCAGGGCTCCTTAAGCACTGATTATTGTTGTTGTGAAGTGTTGTCTAGTTGGTTCTGATTCGTAGCACTCTTTATAGGGTTTTAGTAGTAACGTACTTGTAGAGTTAAATAGCTATCGCTCTTCTTCCTGACACAGGCCTGTAAAAGAGGAAATTCAGACATTGTGCGGCTTGTGATTGAATGCGGAGCTGACTGTAATATCTTGTCAAAGCACCAGAACAGTGCACTACATTTTGCTAAGCAGTGTAACAACGTGTTGGTGTATGACCTGCTTAAGAATCATTTAGAAACGTAAGTATGAAGAGCATATACCATGGTGAAATCACAAAGGATGAGAAATCTATGTGAACACATTATAATTGGTATGGCTTGTCTGTAATTGCTCAGAAAAAAGATTGTCTAGTGTAAGTCCTGGGGAGGTCCTGTTCCCAGCAGATAAGAAATGAATTTAACAAGTGGGATATGAATTGTTTCTCTACAGGTCACTGAGATCTTAAAAACTTGTACACTTGCCACTGTCATTATTGTTGTTGTTAAGTGCCGTCGAGTCGGTTCCGACCCATAGCGACCCTGTACAGGGTTTCCGAGGATATAAATCTTTACGGGAGTAGAAAGCCTCATCTTTCTCCCGCGGAGTGACTGGTAGTTTCGACCTGCTGACCTTAAGGTTCGCAGCCCGATTCGTAACCACTACGCTACCATAGCTAGGTTTATTTCCTTAAAATTTTAATTTTGCTCATAATTTAGCTAACTCATTTTCTTAAAATCATGCAAATGGTTCATATTATTTCATATGAAGTCTCCATTTCATTTTATTTTAAACTCATTCTTCACAACTAGTAATTGAATACCCTGTTGTCACTAAAGAATTATTCTGGCCGCTTGCAACAGGAGCTCCATAAGCAGTCAGTAACTCATACCAGGTGGTTGCCTGTCTTATAACAGGGCATCCAGGGACATAGCAGCCACCGTTACTCTCTTCTGACCCAGCATAGGCAGGGCAGGACTTTGTCACTCCTGCAAGATGGTTACTCCAATTCCAGGCATAGACTCATCATTCTAAGCAGAAAGATGAGGAACAAAACAAACAGAATCTGAAAAAGGCATGTGCCTGCTGCCTGCCCGCCTTCCTTGCCCTGCTGGAAGCCTTACCCACTCAGTAACTTCTCCTGCACCTGTGGCCAGCCCACAGCCCAGGTGCAGTGGTGCATGTCTGACCGCCAGGGCTCCTGGGAAGCCACTACTTGAACTGGTCAAGTTGCCTCCTGGAATCAAGTCTGTTTTGTTAGTATCATGGAGCGCTCGCTGTATTAGCCATCATTTCAGAATCAAGTGATAGGGAAGAAAGGATAATATTTATGCAAATTTGGAGTTGATAATTACCGCTTTTATTAAAATGCATTTTAAGGTTCTAAGCCCTGAATTCCGATTATATAAACAGTAAGACAAGACCCCAGTGTGTCACATGCTGAGTGCTAGAGGGGAGGAAGGTAGGACCAATGGTGCCATCGTTGTAAAAGGTTCGTCAAAAAGACCTCAGGATATAGGGCAGGAAAACAGGCCTGTGTTCACATCAGTTACACAGGGGGGTGTGTGTCTTAGCAGCTTCCTGTCATCCACGACTTGCAATGTACAGACCAGAATGTTTCAGCAAACCAGATGAGTTGCTTACCCTAGAGCAAGGCAGTTTAAAGGTGCTTTGCTGACCCCTTTCTTCCTCAACTAAGCTCTAGAACAAGACTTTGTGAGTGCGGCGATTCTTGAGTTTGTTTTTTAAACAGATTCTCATTCCTGATTTTTCAGATTGATCATTCATGAAACAAACATGTACTGAACACCAACTGTGCCAGGCACTATTCTAAGGACTAGATATGGATAGAGAGGGGAGGGAGAGACATTGAAATTTGCATCCCAATCAGAAGAGATAGACAGTAAGGCAAGTGTCTAGTGTGTCAGATGCTGAGTGCTGAGGAGGAAGGAGGTAAGGACCAGTGGTGCCGTTGTTGTAAAAAGTTGACCTTAGAAGGCCTCACAATTCTAAGTAGAATCAATTTATGACTCATGGTTCTTTTCCACATTTATATTGACAACTTGCACTGTACTTTTTTTAACAGACTCTCAAGAGTAGCAGAAGAGACAATACGGGATTACTTTGAAGCCCGTCTTGCTCTACTAGAACCAGTTTTTCCATTAGCCTGTCATCGTCTCTGTGAGGGACCAGATTTTTCAACAGATTTCAATTACAAGCCCCCACAGAACATTCCAGAAGGTAAATTTATGCTTTGTCTCTGAAACGTGACTCTCTAAACATGAACTGATATTTAGATAGAACCTTCCTTTGAACAAAACCGTAAGGAAATTCCACTCTGCATAATGATGATGTAAACAGGGTCGCTATGGGTCGGACCCGACTCGATGGCACTTAACAACAACAACAAACTCATTTACAGCAGACCTTCTCTGACAGAAGAGACCCAGCAGCTATCTAACATCCCAGGTGACTTTGCGGAGGTCTCATAGAGCACTATGTTAACAGTCACTTAAGAAATAAGGGTTAAAGGATAATATGTATGCAAATTGGGTCTTAATAATTACCATTTTTATTTACTTTTATTAAAAATTCTTCTAAGATTCTAAGGCCAGACTCAACATTTTCCCTGAATTGTATTATTGCTTACGATCTCGAGATTAATAATCCCTGTCACAAATAATCTTGTCCTCCATTAAAGTTTAGTAGGAAGAGAAGGAAACAGTAACATTCGCCTTTTCACACAAGTCCCTGGTCTCTAGGACCCAAGTGCTGACTGTGTAAAGCTGGCTGTGTAAAGTGGAGCAAACTCTGACTCTATTTAAAGGCAGGAAGCTTGGCTCCAACTTGTAGTTTTGTTGGAAAAGCCCCGCCTCCATTTTAAAACACAGTTATTCATTGATCCTTCAGGTTTTCTTAGCTACAATCTTAATGGAAACCAATCACCGCATCTTTCTCCCACAGAGCTGCTGGGTGGGTTTTGAACCAACAACCTCCTGGTTAGCAGTCTTAGCACTTAATCGTTGGGCTACCAGGGGGTCTTGGTCATTAATGAAATTTTTATTAAAGAAAATAATAGCCCTACCAATTAAATGGAGTCCTGGTATGGCAATGTGGGTTAATATGCTAGACTGCAATGTCGCCTTGAACTGCAAGGCCAGCAGTTCAAGCTCACAAGTCGCTCCTTGGAAACCCTATATAGCGTCACGATGGGTCAGAACTGACTCGATGGCAGTTAACAACAATTAAATATAGCTAACCCTAACGTCCCTCCCCCCATAATATTTTACTGTGGTTTTGGTGAGGGTTTGCACAGCAGTTTGGGTTCCCATTCAAATGTTCAGTGACACTGGTCGCATTCTTTACAATATGTGACCATTCTCATGATTTCTGTTCTGATGGTTCTATTTCCATTAATCTAATTTCTCATCTTTGTTTAAATGTATTGACCATTTGGTTTCATATAAGTGGTTTTTTAAAGGCCCACAGTAACAACTAGCAACATGTATTTTTTTCTTCTTCTTTTTTTAAGTCTTTCTGTTATTTGGCTACAAGGTGATTTCAGGGGCTAGTTTCCGTTCAAGATCTGAACCGAAGGGCAGTAGTCTCAGGGAGTCCTCTGTTTTCAACCAATGTAGTAGGTCAAGGTTTTCTTGTTGTTTTAGGAATTTGAAGTCTGCTCCACAGTTTCTCCCATTTTCTCAGGGTCCATGTACTTGGGCTCTCAGTAGTGGGAGCCAGACGCCATCTAGTTCTTCTGTGATCTGGGTAGATGAGGCCTTAGTTCCTATAGACGATTTGTCCTGTAGACTAGTTTGTACTTTGACTCTAAATGACCACTATTGGTCTCTTTTAGAGACCAATAGTGGTCATTTAGATGGCCGCTCATAAGCTTTTAAGACCTCAGACGCTACTCACCAAATGAGAATGTAGAACATAACTTTTAGACCATGAATGCCACTTGACCAAGATGCCCCATAAGATTGTGGTCACCAGTGCACAGTTTGGGATATTGGTACACCATTGAGAACGCTCAGTCTCCTGCACCTGGCATCCCAGCTGCATACTTACTTCATAGTGGAGCCGAGGGGAATGGGACCAAGAAAGGGTGTACGTTATTTGCCAGGCCTATTGATCCTAATGTTGTGCATAGGGCCCTTTCAACAGCATTGATCCTTAGTGCTCTAGGCCTGGGAAGTTGATGATCAAGGTAGAGAGTAAAATCCGTGTCCTGGCATTCATAGCTTGAAAGGACTGATAGGATAGCAGCAGTCCTAGCCTGCTCCTTCTCTTTCTATCTCTGAACCAGATGGAGGGCTCTTGTTAAAAATGGCTAGTTTGGTAGAAAAGTCATTGAGGTCATTTTACCTGTCTCATATTACTAAAAATACAGCATTTGTTCAAAACATAAATCTTACAGAGTATAAAAAACTGCAAATCTCTCATGCTAATATTTTCCCCAAAATAATCAGAAAATTTAGAAGAAGCAAAGCAATACATCAAAATAAAGCAGAAAATTAATTCACAGCCATAGGAGAATCACTATAGAAATGTCTGTGGATTTGCTTCTGTGAACATTGCCCCATTCAGCAGCAACTTTATTGTTTTTGTTGTTGAGAATACAAAGGGGCTTCAAAAGTTTGTAGTTAGATTCCATTATCTTTTAATTCCATTTTCCATGTACTTTTTGAAGGCCATCATATGCTCAGCATAACATACACCAATTCAAATTTCTACATGTTCAGTTCAGTGACGTTGATTGCATTCTTCACGTTGTGTAGTCATATTTACCCTGCTTTTTTGAGTTGTTCCTCTCCCATTAGCATAAACCCACTGCCTCTAGGGTTCGTGTTAAATCTTTTCAGTTGCGTTGTCAGTTTGGTCCCATGTAGATAGTTCTTAAGGAACTCTGGTTAGCATAGTGGATATGAGTCGGGCTGCTAATCTCAAGGTCTGCAGTTCGAAACTACCAGCTGTTTGTGGGAGAAAGATGAGGCTTTCTGCTCCCGTAAAGGTTTACAGCCTCGGGAATCCTATACAGGGTCACTATGAGTTGGAACCGACTCCACGGCACATAGCCACCACCAGGTACTTCTTAAAAGAGCATAATACTCAAGGCAGATTTTTTTACTCCTCTTGCTCTAAGATGATGTCAGGGGATGTTTTTGGTTTCAGGTTTTAAAGTTTATCACTGGGCAGTACTTTCAGGGGTTCATCTAGCCTCTGTGATGCCAGAAAGTCTGGATTCCATGAAAATTTGAATTTCTGTTTTGCAGCATCTTCTCACTATCATTTTTTTTTAATTAAGAAGAATACTTAAATGACTTTAGTGTAGAAAACCATTAAAAGGTACATCCCATAAACTATCAGTAGGGAGGGATTCCAAAAATGAAAAGGATTCTGTGGTATGGAAGGTGCCCCAGTGGTGCTATGGGGTAAGTGTTGGTCTGCTAAACACAGACTTGGTGGTTCAAACCCAGCAGCCGATTTATGAGAGAAAGATGAGGTGTGTTTCCTGTAACGCTTCACAGTCTTGGAAACCTTACGTAAGGTTGCTGTATGAGTCATAGTCAACTGGATGGCTGTGCGTTTGGTGTGGTTTGGTGTGGTTTAGTTAAAACAAACAAGCCGTGAAATGCAGGAACTTTTCAGAGCTTCCCATGTGGGTGGTAGAGAGTGAGCTGAGCAGACCCACTCCCATTTCAGTGCTTGTCAACAGTGACACGCTGTGCTAATGAAATGGATTTGTAATCAAAGTAAACACCCATTTTGGTACAAATCTTGTTTACTAGGATCTTTACTAAAACGTGATCTGTGTCTCCCTTGCTCAGGCTCCGGCGTCCTGCTGTTTATTTTCCATGCAAACTTTTTGGGTAAAGAAGTGATTGCTCGGCTCTGTGGACCGTGCAGTGTACAAGCTGTAGTTTTAAATGATAAATTCCAACTTCCCGTTTTTCTGGTAAGACCTTTTTGTAGCTCACTACTGAAAATTATTCTAAACAAAAGTACAGATTTCTGGTGTGGCTTTGTAGGATCAGCACTGGATTGTGAGACACAGGGTCAGTGGTTCAAACCCACCAGATGCTTCTTGGAAACCCTGTTCAGGGTTGCTATGAGTCAGAACCTAACAACAACATGACAAACAGAAGTACAGATGACTTCATTTTAAATCTCTATGTTTCATTAAATATAAAATATCATTAAAATTTAGTAAACCAGTTGTAACTCAGAATCATAAAGTAAAATTGTCCTAAACATTGGCAATAAAAATCAAATTCACTTTTGTGTCTTAAATTAAGCTTACTATAATGCCTTATAACCTATAATCTCTCTGAATATAAGTTTTTTGTTACAAGAAATATATTGCCTGGTTTTAAATGTTATGTCTTTTTGCCCACTGTTCTAATGACAAACATTCATTTAAAGAGAATTTAGAAAATTTAAAAAGGAAAAAAAGTTTATTCATATTTTCAGTACCTAAATATAACCATTGTATTAACATAAGTTGTATTTATGCTTAGTTTTGACATGTAAATTGAACAACCATAAACCTTTCTCTCTTTTTTTGCATCTTTTAAAAAAAATTGAGTGGAAAAAAAGAAACTACAACATACTGACTTTAAAAAAAATCAAATCCGAGCCTTCCATATGATTCCCTTTGAAATTGAATTTTAATAAAAGTGTCTGGTCTCTGTTGTAATAAGATTATACTGTAAAACTAATAGTGTGTTCCTGTCTGGATGTGGAAGTTTCTGAAAAACTGGTGACTTTGTTTTATTTGGTCTCTCTGCTCTAGGACAGTCATTTTGTTTATTCATTCAGTCCTGTCGCCGGCCTCAATAAACTTTTCATCAGGCTGACAGAAGCACCCTCTGCTAAGGTGACATTCTTTCTTCATATTTAGTGTTACTCCAAATCATTTTGTCATCATTAGGAACAATCTTCAAGAATGTTGTGCTACCCTTTCTAGAAGAAGGCCCTGTCCCAGAGACAAGCACCCTCAGGGTGGAAATGCTAGCTCTATCTAAACTGTGCCAGGCCCAGATAACAATGTGTGCCAAGAGTGAGAATGTGAACACATCTCTGTAAGTCAGTTCTGTGCTTTGACACTTACTTGCCACAGCTATAGTAATAATGTTGTTGTTAACATATCCTAAAATCGAATGATAATCTCCTGAATTTACTGTAACAATGGAACCGCACCAGGTTGAAAATACTGCCAAGTAAGAGAAGCCAGTTTATGTTTTGGTTTTTCCTCTTTCTAGAGAATGCGGACTCTTTGCTTCTGTACTGACCTGTATTTCTCTCCCACCAGGTTAAGTTGCTAATAGGGGCCTACAGAGTGCAGCTGCAGTGACCAAAGGATGGTGACGGGGTTCTCGTCCCACCACTGAAGAAGAGTCTCTTCCAAGCAGTCTGGAATTGCCCTGGCACATCGAACACCTGTAGATTTAAAGTCTCAGCTCTTGACCTCTTCCAGCTCAAGGCCTGTCACTTCTGTCATCTGTAAGATGGGACACGGCTGTTGTAGTAGATTATAAAACGCAGACATAAGTATTCACACCAGTATTCTGAAATCTCAGTGTTGCGGTGTCCAGACTGCATCTTTCAGTTCTCCACAATGTGGAATGATAAATGAGGATTATTTAAGAAAATTAAAGAAAAAACCTTTTTTAAACTTCAAGTTTTCTACTAGCCCTGGTGACTTTCTGTGTATATATATAAAAAAACAACAACACCAAAAACCTCAAATGTAAAGTTTTTATTTCCTTACAACAAGGGAGGCATGTTACATTCAAGACACCCAAGCACTAAATAAAGTGTGAATTTGCTGCCCTTGAAGTATGACTAATCTGACTAGGCATGCAGAGGGGGAAACTCTGATTGAAGTTGTGATTTGGAAAGGGAACTAGATGACACTATAGGAATATAAGACCTAACAAGACTATAAACCAAGACATTAGCCCTAAAGGGAGTGTTCAATTGTGAACTGTATCCCTGGTCTTGAAATCCACCAAATAATTTGGAAACACCAGATCTAGTGCCCTTATTTTGAAAAATTGGGAAAGTTTAAATCCCATTGGTGCCTTGCTGTCCTCGCTGCTGCTTCTGATGCCCCAGTGCGCCTGTGTGAACAGTCCTTGCAGCTATAGATTGCTCACAGGTATGCAGCTCTTAGGTCTTTTTAAGACATTAGTTCAAACACTAATCAAGCTCCAATTGTGTAGTTCCTGATTAGTTTATAATTGTATGAATTGTAATTTTAATGAAAATGTTTTTGAATATCACCTGATAACAGGTCCACACACATTTATAGATATACGCTTAACACTGCCTTTTCCTGTAGTTTTCTCAATAAAACACAATGTTGATGTTTTTCTTTTCTTTGTGGAGTCTTAGGACTTCAAGATGGATACAAACTGCATGGTTTTCAGCTTAATGAGGATTGAGAATGGGCTTTTCCAATTCATTTGAATCACTAGTATCTGATGTCATGGCCTTCTGGGGGGAAAGTTAGGAGGTGTGAGTTAGCACCACTGCGTAGACTAGGATTAGTTTCTTGGTCAACTAGATTTAATTGAGATTTTAGATAAAATTTGCTTTCTCCCACAGTCATGCTTAGGATATGAACAGCCTTATCAGGAAACATTAGGAAACACACTCGTTTACCAGGAGGCAAGGCTGCAGACGACACAAGCCAAGTAGAAAGCCGAACACCATTCCTTTAGGGAAACTTAGGCCGAGAAATGTGAAAGCTAAAAAATCTTTAGCAGGTGAGACTGGACCCTACGGAGGAAGGTGCATTTGTAAAGTGTGTTAATTTGCCCACCTTTTACATTTTGACAGAAACAGGGTTGGAGAGAGAAACACATACTAAAATTTGAGACGACTTGGTGTAACTCTACATTTGAGTTATCTCTGTTTCAGCTTTTGACGGTTCTGTGCCACCTGTCACTGTTAACGTCTCCATTAGAAATACAGTGTATAGCCACCTAATTTAATACAGGTGCTTTGCTTCTCTGTAGTCAGGTAAATAATAGCACAGATGGATTCTCAGTAATCTTGAAAGTTCTGGTGGCTTAAAGATGAAAGGGGCTTAGATCAGCTGGAAATGCACTGAGAGCGGTTTCTCTGATGAGGCAGCATGCCTATTAGAGTGCAAATGGTGTGCTTTATACAACTTTGGATTGAAGTAAAGTATTCTGGAGTGGTAGGCAAATCAGTTCTCTAGTCGTAACTTACCAAAAGGTTAGTTGTTGTTTTGTTGGTGGTGGTATGTGCCATGGAGTCGGTTCCGACTCACAGTGACCTTGTATAGGGTTTCCAAGGCTGTAGATCTTTACGGGACCAGAAAGCCTCCATCTTTCTTCCATGGAACCGCTGGTAGTTGTTTTGAACTGCTGACCTTGAGATTAGCAGCCTGACTTGTAACCACTATGCTTCCAGAGCTCAGGTCAACTCCAAAGTCATCTCCTTGTTAAAGATGTAACTGAGGGCTTGCGTGATCCCAAATCATAAGCAGATAATCATAAATTGAACAAATTGCTCTTAGACCAAATTCATTGAAAAGCAATTACCACAAACATTTTTACTTCAGTTTTGTCCTTTAAGAAAAAAATTAACACTGCTTTTTAATTACTTCTCTGCCATTATTCCTTTCCAGCAGCCCCAGTACTCGGTATGTATCCAGGAGAAATAAGAACCATGACACAAATAGGTAATTGTTACACCCTTGTTAATTGCAGAACTATTTATAATAGCAAAAAGAGGAAAACAACTTAAGTGCCCATCAGTGGATGGTTTTATAAACTATGATTAGTATGTTTTTAAAACTCACTTTTAGGTCATTCATGTATTTGAAAATTCAGTGAAGTAGGGACTCCGCCTCCACCCTCACCCCCACCCCTACCCTCAAAAGAATCTCTATGTACGTGTACAAAATTGTATGTAATTTAAAGGAATTTGCAGCTCCCCTAATGTACCTCAGTGATCCATTAAGATCCACAATCCCACCTAAAAACCCTAAATAATGTAAATTTATTTTGTCAAATAAGGCATGGCGGCATAAATCAGCAAAGCATCTGTTTTCTGTTTGCACTAGGAACTGGCATTCATTCTGCACGATTGGGTGTCCTGAGTATTTTCCAGCTGTGTTGAATATCCGCTCCTAAATTCATTAGCAATTAGGTTTTTTTTGTTTTTGTTTTTTTTTTAGCAGTAGGGATGTGTTTATTCCAATGGTAATGAAACCTAGTACAGGCAAAGTTAACTCTATGATGAATTAAATAGCCAATCAATTGAAGAGATGCTTCCTTGGGAGTTTGACCTGCTCCCAATATAATGGACACATTGGAGGGACTCTTTTCCACAGGGGAAATGGCTCTCTGCATTTGTAAGCCATTTCCTTGATGATAAACTTTATCTATCTATCTATCTATCTATCTATCTATCTATCTATCTATCTATCTATCTATCTATCTATCTATCTATATTTCACTGGTTTTGCTTCTCTAGAAAACCCAACCTAAGACAATTTCCCAAATGTCTTGCATACATGAGTGAGTGCCTCTAGTGTTGTGTCAATTTGTTGAAAGATTTCCGTTTTTAAGCCATTAAATCCCAGAGCCTAGTTCTTTGTCAGTGCCTTCTGTGCACATTGGAGTTCTTCCTTCAGTGCCATTGGATTTTGATCATATGCTATCTCTTGAAATGGTTGAACTCTGTTTCTTTTTGGTCCAGTGATTGTGTATTCCTTCTATTTTCTTTTGATGCTTTCTGTATCATTCAATATTTTGTCCAAAGAATCCTTCAATATTTCAAGTCAAGGCTTGAATTTTTTCCTCATTCTTTTCAGTATGAGAAATTCTGAGTGTGTTCTTTCCTTCTGGTTTGCTATCTCCAAGTGTTTGCACATTTCTTTAAAATATTTAACTTTGTCTTCTTGAGCTGCCCTTTGAAATTTTCTGCTTAGCTCTTTTACCATCTCATGTCTTCCATTTGCTCTAGCATCTCTACACTGGAGAGCATGTTTCAGACTTTTTTCTGACATCCATTTTAGTCTTTTATTTCTTCCATGTCTTCTTTTTTTTTTTTTTTTTAAGGTTTTTATTGTGGATTGAGTGAAAGTTTTCAGGGCACATCATCGGTTTCACATTCAAACATTCATATGCCTTGTTTCATTAGCAATTAGTTTTTAATTGAACTTCTTTTATATGTGGTTTCGTAGATGTGCTATTTTTATACCTATTGCTTTCGTTAAAGTTAAGAAGAAACAGGACCATGAGTTCAACCGGACAGCTGGGTTATGTAATTACTCAGTGACACATAACTTGATCAAGACTACTAAAAGTCTAATTAAGCCCTTTCAACTTTTAAAAGTAGTGAACTTCCAATTTAAAAATCATTAGTTATGAAATTTAGACAATCTAGAACTTAGCCAGGTTCTAGTTACCAATATTTGCTAATTACAAAGGTAACTTCTCTTTCTATTATTATTGTAATCGGTATAAGAAGTCCTGCTGATAGCACTTAACAATAGGGAAGTTGTGAAGTGCCTTTGAGTCGGTTCTAACCCATAGTGACCCTGTATAGGGTTTCCAAGGAGCAGCTGGTGAGCTTGAATCACCAACCTTGTAGCTCAAAACGACTTGGCAGTCCAGCACATTAACCCATAGCACCGCATCACGACTCCTACAGGAAAGCTGACAGGCTGTAATTCAGGATTCAGTCAGGACAGCTGGCTAGGCTCATGGTATAAAGCTCTTTGGGACCTCTTAGCTCCTGCTGGAACAGGTATAGCTCTGTCGATGAAGCAATGTTCCAGCAGTAAGCTTTGGCCCAAAGGCTCTAGACTTTCTTGCTTCACGAGCGTGTCTTGCTCATTGGGCAGGAATGCCCACCACTCTCTCACGCTGTTGCTTTTGCTGCTGTTTGTCTCTGGTGTCTTCACTCTGTCTCCTAGATCAATCAGGCTCTGTGCAAGCTCCTCCTCTGACTCTTCTTTCTTGATGGTAGAGATTCCCCTTTATGCTTTTGAAGGGGCTCATCTTTAATCCAGCAGAATGGCAGTCCTCTCATTAGAGTTCCGTAGATCTATTTTGTTTGCATGGTCCCACCCCACATGAGTGCTATGCCTGTATTGACATTAGCAAGCTATCCAATCCCCTTGTTGTTAAGGGCCTTCGAGTTTGAACCACTGATCTTGTGGTTCAAACCTACCTGGCAGTCCTGTGCTTAGGCTACATTGCCACACCAGAAGTCTCCTTAGTGGAACATGAACACCTTAATTTGCATAGTCCTCCCCAGTCACTTTTAGAGTCCTTGTGTGGTGCTCACTGTAGGATAAGTACCGGATTA